GACTTTCCACCTTATTTGTGTTATTTTCCTTATCTAGCTTTACGTTGCATAACTTTAGTTATTCTATATAATTATAAATATATAGAGCAAGGTGTTTCCATATACACAGAAGGCACGCTATTATCTTTTACAGCCGCGATAGTACTTGTCCATTTTACTCTCTTAGCCATAAAACATTTCCTAAAAATTTTCGTGTCACTTCTACTGCAAGGGTTTGGAACATGAATAAAGCAGTTTCTGACGAAAAAAGTTATTAGAAACTCAATGAGTTATGGAGTGACGCGACACGCGGATCCAGGCGATAGCAATGTTTAAGTGGAATTCTGCAAAAATCACTTATGTAATATGTGCTAGTAAGAAGAGTTGGACTGTCATGGGAGGGAGATGAGAACTAATTGCGCGCAAAGTCGATTACTGAATGGAACCCAAACAATGTTGAGAAAGCAGTTAATGGACAGGATTGCTTGAAATTCCATGTAGACTAAAGTGCATTTGGAAAACTTAGAACCAGACAAAAAGGAGGAATTTTCAGTTGTTCGCTGATAAAAAAGGACGTGAAGTTAACCACATTCAATGCTATAAGCACAGTCAGGCCTATTCAAGCAGGGGAAAAGAGGCGTACTAGTCCAGGCATTTCAAGGCGCCCTAGCCCAAATATTTTCTTCTGAAGATGAGGTTGATTATGTGGGAGGAGAAGTTGCAAAACTGTAGCTATGAGTAAGTAGCAGAGCGGCTGGGATGTTCGAGTAAATCTTATTGTAGCTAGTCGCCCAGTTTATCTGTTTTGATATTGACGAATTGATTAGCATCCAAGCAGCACAAGTGCAAAAAAAAAAACCAACATTTCTGGCGTGATTTCCTCAATAGTTTCCTCCCATGGTGGCTCAGCGAAGTTGAACTGAGCCAAAATAATTGGATTTCCAGTTATTTTGCACGGGTACTGCCAAAGATCCAACCCATAAAAAATGGCTTCCCGTTCTGGTGCATTGATTACTCGGCGCTGATCATCGCCATACTTAAATTCCAATCCCATGTAACGACCGACTGGTTTCACTATTTTCCAAAAATCACGCATTCTGACTGGCATTACATACAGAAGCGCTCTCTGAAACAGTAAAATTATCTTGTTGATTGAGGCAAAAATCGAAAAGCGATTGCGGAACTGCAAGTGAGCTCTGAATACTCAGTGCTGCTCATCGCAATACTTAAGGCATATAAGAGGAAAAAATGAGGTTGATGTTGTCGTCTGAGTACTGAGAAACAAACTCAGGTCGGAACGCGCTCGGCGGACCGCTGCCATCATGTGTTTTTGCACTTTTCATGCCAGAGCAAGATTGCAAGAAATCACAGTAGTAATATACTGGTCCTC